ATGAACAGCTTCAAGTCAGTCACAACCTGTGTGAGATTGGCCACAGTCAGACAACACGGAATGTGACACGTGGTGACTGGCCGCTTTTACTGCAAAGTAAACCCCTCCTTGTCCTGGGTGATGGGACGGTGCATCTTCCTCTCATCATTTGGTCATGTTTATGTGGTGATGTCACTATTTCTTGCTCTCCAGGAAGAGTTCCAAAGGCCATGCTGATATGAGGTCTCCTGAAATGAGGACTGGGGGGGGGGGGGGGGGGGAAAACCAAAGGAGAAAAAAGTGATTCTGTGCATACCTGATCATTCCTGCTTCTTCCAGTGTGCAACTTTCCAGCTACATCTCCAATCAGCTCCTGAGGACAAGAGGAGGATTTCTATCAGTATCTCTGTGTTTTAAGCAAGAGACTCCATGAGCAGATCTTCTCCCTGCCTGGAAGTAACCAGGGGATTTGTTCTGGGGAAGGGCAAGTTTGGGTTGTGTGTTTGTAGAATGACACTTCCATGGAAGGGGGCTTGGAGACACTGCCTGTGCACTTGGGGTCCAGAGGAATTTCACAGAGGGACAGAGGCACATGCCCTTAACATCAGGCAGATCCAGCTACAGAGGAACAGGAACAAGAGGACAGAGAACCCAAACCTTTAGCCTGCGTTCGTTGGCAGTGTGGATATCCTCATCAGTTTGGATCACACCAAAGACTCCTTTGGACCATTCCTCAGAGATCTACAAACACCAGCAGAAACACCAGTCAGCTACAACAGTTACCCTGCTGGGGGTGGGCTGTAAGGGTCCCCAGCAAATTCCTGCCATCCCCATGAAAATTTAACCCTAAAGAGTTAAGTCTCATGTGAGCTCTGGTATTCAGGCCAAGGCTGGCTGCTTGCTGTATCCTGATATCCTGTACTGCTGGGATTCATCTCTCTACCCATGGCAATCCTGCAGTGTTATGGCTGTAGGATTTAAGCATTGCAAGGAAGAAGTGAGCCAAAACGTCAGTGATTGCTTTAGCATTGTCCACCAAGGTTTTCCTATAAAACATTGTACAGCCTCGCCGTTGTCTGTGGTGGGTGAGGAACAACAATGCATATTTTAAAAAAAGCACTTCGCTGCTGACTCCTCTTCCCCCCTACACATGCTATGCATTGCCTCCTACCAGAGGGCAGCCAGACTCAAAAGGATCCCATGTGCCAGCAGGAAAAGAATGTTCTTACTTCATACTGAAATGATTCCTAGTGAATGTTCAGTCTGAAGAGGATGGGACAGGAGGACATTTAAGGATGCTCTTTAGAACAGCAGCTCAGATGCTGTCAGGTAAGGAGCCATTCATTCCAGCACACATCACAGTTTGTGAAGGAAAGACATACCTTTTCCAGGCCACTCAGGATCTTCTCCAGCTCAGTTTTAGACAGGATTCCAGCCTTCTCCAAGGCTTTAGCATAAGCCATGCTCCCCTGAATATCAACTTCAGACAGTCTCTGATCAACAGTAATGGAAGCGCTGAGCATCTCCATGATTGGATCTGTGCTTCCAACAAACCTTCCCGCCATCATTTTATCCCCCTGCAAGTAATGAAGTTGAAGTTGAGAGGCATGTTCAAAAGACTTATGGATACATCTGCTAAAAATCAGTCAGTGTCCATTCCACTCCTTATCAAACTAAAACTGAGGACAATCTCAGGAATGGAATTTTTTCAGTCTATACCATTGACCAGAAACCCCCTGGACTTTAATGCCTTTGGCAAGCAGTTGTAGAGGTGGAGAACATGTTGCTGTCACCAGAATTTAGCCCTTGAGGTTACAGGTCTGGCTCGGGAATCCTTCAAGACATTTTACGCCTGCAGGACTCTGCAGGGAGTATGTCCTGTCTGTGATAATAAGTATCAGGCAATGGGGTGCAAGACCAGCATGGAACTCTCTTTTAAGGCAGCTGCTGATCACTGACCCTTTGAGAGTCTTCTGACAGGGAAAAAAAAGTCAGATACCACTGAAAGATGGTATCTACTACTATTTGAAATACTAAAAAAAAAATCCCACTCTTTTAGGGAGACTGTAAGAAAACATTGAGCTGACAAAGAGCTGTGGGCCAGCACAAGCCACATCCTGTCAAACACTCCTGTAACTATCAAGTGTGTGAAGTTACCGTTTGAAGCATCCCCAGGGTCCACGACGTTCTTGCAAGTTTTGGCACAAAATTGAGATAAAACCGGCAAAGGTGCAGATTGCAGAAAGGGAGGTCTGGGTGCCGTTCAGTGTTACAAATGTTAGCGTAAAGTGAAAAAAGGAAGAGAAAAAAGCCCAAAGTACCCCCAGAAGGGCTCGGAAGATGCGCGGCGCCGGGCGGGCGGCCGAGCTACCATGGACAGCGGGCGGCGGCGGGACCGGGCAGGGGACCGGAGCAGCCCTTTCCCCAAATTACTGTCGAGGGAAGAGCAGGAGGGAGCCTGCGGAGCCAGGGTGCAGGCTCGGGGTGCTGGAGCTCTGGGTGTGGAGCAGGTTTGTCAGCAGAAGCTGCTGGGGGAGGCGGGGGGGGGGGGGGGGGGGGGGTGGAAAAGCCAAGGGGGGGGGGGGGGGGGGGGGGGGGGGGGGAAATGGGAGTTGAAAAAGCCAAAGTTGTGCAGCTCCTCGCTGGGAATCCCATGCCCGGGGGTGATGGGAGAGGGGACCGGGAGGGAAAAGGGGGTGAGGGGAGGTAAGGGCTGAGATGGGCAAGGCGTGTCCAGGTCCATCGTTGCTGCTGTGGGCTATGCCCAGCATCAGAGGTGGGGCGTTGGGCTATTGCAGCAAAGGTATTTACTGTCCCCTTCTCCATTTAAAACCCGGGAAAACGAATCATAGAATCATTAAGGTTGTGAAAGGTCTCCAAGATCACCGAGTCCAACCGTTAACCAAATACTGCCGGGTTCACCACTATCCCATGTCCCTGAGGATCACAACTACACGTTTTTTGACCCCTCCCAGGGATGCTGATTCCACCACACCCCCGAGGAGCCTTTTCCAAACGAAATGGGGAAAGACTCGAAGCTCACGAACGCCGGAGCACCCGGAGACCTCCCCGCCGGGAAAGCAAAGGTCCCCCTCACCTCGGCTGCCATTTCGGACGACGTTTTGCTCGTTTGTGCGGCGATCCTGGCAACTGGTGCAACCTGCGGGACAGCGCGGGTGATGCTCAGCCCTGCTCCGGGCCGAGCCCCGCCGCGGTCCCGCTGCCCTCCCGGCCCCTCCGGGCCCCGCTCACCTGCTCGTCCCGCAGCCCCGGCCACTCGCTCGCTGCTCCCCGGCCCCGCCGCCCCGCTTTTACACGCCTCGGTGCGGGGCAGGCGGCTCGTCCCGCCCCGCCGGGGCGGGGTGTCCCCGGGGCCGGCCCCGCTCCGGTCCCCCCCGCAGCCCCCTGCTCCCTTCACACCCCTCCGCTGCCTCCGGCCCCGGCTCGCCCGGCGCATGGTCGGGGAGAGAAGTTTCTTTTGGGGAGAGGTTTGCTGCGGGAAGGAGGGTTGAGAGGGAAGCTCCCGTGTTGCTTCTTAGGGAAGTTCCCGGCGGTGCTCCCGCACTGCCTGAGGGTCTCGTGTGTGGACAGGGCAGCTCCTTCCCTGGGAATATCCTTGTAGTGAAGGAGCCACGTCGCTCGGTGTTACACCCCTTAACGAGCAGTCTTTGATATGATAAAGTGCTCTGTCCCCATTGCCACCCCGGCCAACACACCGGAATAAAACAGATGGGAGCCGGTTCCCCTTTTCCATTTCTGCGTGGATGAGACTTTTCTCCCCACTCGTAGGGACGCTGCAGCTCCAGCTTTGGGGCTTCCCTGCTGCCACCAGTTCCATGGGGTCACTTGTCAAGAGGCTCCTGTGAGCTGTGGCTGTGGGGTGCGAGGTTGTGCTTTTGGCAATAGCCCGTGTCTTAAACTCATGACACTCTAAACATCGTGGAAGTAAATAACTGATTGAAAATACAAGAGAGCTTTGGGAGCAGCAAAGCTTCAGCTCAGCACCACTTTCTCATTAACTCCTCAGACAGAGAATTTTCTGTAGCCACTTCCCAGAAAGCTGAATATTTGCTGCTTTGTCTTACTGAGAGAGCCTCTGCAGTGTAATATTTTCCCATCTGCATTGTCCAAACCCTTCACAGTGCTCAGGAAACATGTTCCAGCTTTCTCATCCACATTTTGTTGGGTTATTTTTTTTCCCCTGTAACTGATCCTCTTTTCCTTTTTTACTGTTCTCTCAGTTCTACAACATTATCTCCTTTTCCTTTTTCTTCTAGGACACTTACACCAGGAAGCAGTGCTTGATCCTTTTGCAGTCATGTTCTTTCCTACTGTGAAATCCCTCATTTTTACTGCTTTTCTTGTCTTCTTCACCCTTTAGAAGTGCCCTTTTCCTTACTCTGGGCTTTGACAGGAGATTGCTGATGTGTTGGGGAACCAGTAATCAGTGAGTTTATAACCAGTGAATCTATGTCAGTAAGATCTTATTAATCTATGTCTGATATTACATGTGGCAGGGACATGTGCTTCCACATGGGATCTGTCAGCAGTGTCACTGTGTGTTTAGCAAACTTCACAGGGATTAGTTGGCTTGTAGTACACTGCTCGACTCTTGTCCCAGTTTGTATCTAGGAAATTATTAATTCTCTTTCCTATTTTTAGGTTAAATAGACAATAACTATCTTTTCTGCATAATAGTGTAGAATATAGACTAATATTTTTATAATAAAAATGGAAGTGAAACTGTAAATACAAAAATGAACATTGAAGAAATATGATTTTTTACAGATGCTGGAGCTGGAGAGTTGGACTTTTTTTGAGGGGAAAATGGTAAAATAGCATTACAAAATAGGTTTTCTAATGCACAGTGAAGTGTATTCTCATTTCTATCTTCTCTATTTGTTCTGGTTTGGATGGCTCTCCGCTTCCCATCATCTTCTTTCAGTATTTTATTTGCTTTGTGAAATGGAAAGATTAACCCCCAAAATCTTCACACCACAACTAATATCAAGGAAGGTCTGAGGGAAAGGTCTTCCACTTATTTTCCTTTCTGGCACAGTGGATGGCAAATCATTCATTAAGGTACAATGAGGTAGTGCTAGAGAGTAAATTGCCCATTTTGCAGCATGGAGAAGTTTAATTAAATATATTTTAAGGTACTCAAAGATCTGAACTTTATTTTTACTTACTTTTTTAATCAGTCACAGCCTTACTATTTCCTTTTGTTTTGTTGGAAGAGTGCAATGCTCCGAAGGAGCTTTAGTGGTTCTACAAATACACTTTTCACAATAGGACTGGTTTTCATAACTGAGTCCAGCGAAGAAAAAGGATGGCTTCTTTAAAAACATCCTTTTTTAACCGTCATTTTGGTTTAGAAAAAGAAAATAGCTCTATGGGCTGAAAGTGCTGGTCAAACGCACTGTCAGCTCGGCTGATGTGAAGCCGTGCTGACATTTTTTGTTAAAAAAACCCCCAACTTTGTTTAATGAATTTTGAATGTAAAAGGAAAAAAAAAAGACACTATAGGGTGATCAGCGAAATGCTGAATACAGTAAACATCTTTCATGACAAAGAATACAAATACCCTGCAGATCTGCTTTCAATAGCAAGTCCTAGGCCCCCTGCTTTCAATAGTTAATACCGAGGCCCCTCTCTCCCCAAGCCTTAGTGGTAACAATCACAAGCCAATGCTTAAAATGTTGACATGCTAAGCACATTTAGAAAAACCTATGTCTGCATTCCCTATGGATGGTGTAGCATAACTGTCTAACACCTAAAGAGCAGCAATTAAAACCAGTGAACTGGCCTAATCACCTCACCTCCTGAACAGTTGTAAGGGTAATGAGCTCTCTTAGATATTCCCCTTCTCCATGGGATGATGTCAGTGGACCAGTAGCTGACCTGCACATGCATTTACACCCTAACAGGCTATATGTGTCCATTGGAAAATATTTAGGAATAATATCCCTATTAGAAAAAGAATTGAGAGCTGTTGAGAGAGGCATTTGTATTGTGCCCATTCATTCCCAGCTGCATCATCATCACGGATTGTAACAAGCATCATAGCTTGAAAAAGTGTATCAGCAAAGGTCTTGGGGGAAACTTTTGGAGACGCAGTGGAAATAAAGATGATAAGTTGGTGCTGGGGGAGAGATATAAAGAGTTGCAAAGGAGAAAGGAAATTAATATGCTGAAGATTCTGAACCCTTATCTGAAGAGAGTGATGAGAGGCAGGCAAGGATTAGTAGATTTGTGGAACAAAACTGAAATACCATGTTTTCACATGAAAGCTGACATCTTTTTTCTTCTTTCCTTCCCCTTAGCCTGGTTGGGAGCTGGTGTACAGGCAGTTTCATGTGCAGGGTTGGAAATATGGCAGAGAAGTTGCAGAGCGTTTGCTGTGCCAGTTTTGGCCAACTTACAAGGCCAGTTAATCCTGACATGAAAAAGGGCAGCATCCATTGCATCCTGTCCACTGAGTCAGACCAACAGCTCTCAGTCTGCATTTGGAGACCTTTCTCCCGGCTCTTTTTCCACAGAACTCCACAATAAGTGATTCTGGAGGATAAATGAATTTCTATCTGTACTACAATCTGTGTGTGATGGGCTTTACTTGTCCACTGAAACTTTTTGGCGGAGGTTTCAACTGAAAAGGGCTGAAAAACCTTTGCAGGTGGCTTTTAAACTTTGCCCAGCACTTCTATATCTGGTGATGAAGGTTCCTGGAGAGCTGGGAGCTGCCAGGGCTGTCCTGGCACTGAGGACTGTTCCTAAAGCACTGCAGTTTGCCCACATGATTCAGAATTGATTTAGGATTTACAAAACCCCAAGGAGAAGAAAAGTCCTAAAAGTGGGAGTGGTTTGATTCTGGAGAGAAAAGCAGCTGGTGGATTTTGTGTTGGCATTGCAAGACGGACTTTGGGAGCACAAGTCAAACCCTTTTGGTTCCCTAAATGGCTCTTAAATTCCTGCTGCAAAGAACCACGTGTATCTGTATGTGACTCCTTAGGGAGTTAGTGGTCTTGTATTTGCATATAAATTTTCACCTGAGAGATAATGTCAGAAGTAAGGAATTAATGTTGCACGGGCTCTCAGTCTCTGAGCCAGACGATTTTCCTTGCTGTCGCCAATGGGATTTTCAGCTATTTGCACTCAGTGAAGTGTCTTCAGGTTTACTGAGAATGAAAAGGGCTCTTGCAACATTTAATAGTACATAGACCAAATGAGAAAGCATCACGAAAGCATCACGGTGACGGCTGGAAAAGACATCCGGCGCTGACGAGCTGACGGGTGCTTTAAAAGACAATAGGAGTATTACACAACTGCTTCAGCCTCGCAGCACATGGCTAGAGATGAGATTTGGAAGGACCTTCGCGACACCGCTTTGACTTTGTCATATTTAATAGCGGCTAATTGTCGATCTGGGTGAATTTTCAGGGCAATTTTAACTTCTTCTTCTACAGTACATACAAAGGAAGAGGCGGGAAGGTGGTTTTTATCGCCGGCATTGGTGGTTCAGTGGTAGAATTCTCGCCTGCCACGCGGGAGGCCCGGGTTCGATTCCCGGCCAATGCAGCTGATTCTTTTTCTTTTTTTTTTTTTTTCCCCCCCTTCCTCCATATTTCTCCTTCCCTTTCCGCTTCCGTCGCGGCCGCCAAATCCTCCTTCGGCTCAGCTCAGCCTCCCCCTTTGCCCCACTCTTCCCCCTCCGTCTCCCGCCGGGCTGCGGGTGCCCGAGCGGAGCGGGAGGAGCCTCAGGGAGGCCGCGGCGGGGCGGACAAGATGGAGGTGTAAGGAACGGGGAGGAACCGGGGACACGGGCTGCTGTGGGGACAGCGGGGGCTGCGGGGCCGGGGCTACATCTGTGTGGGTGTGGGGGGTACATCCGTGTGGGCCTGTGAGGTGTCTGTGTGGGGGACGTACATCCATGTGGACCTGTGAGGTGTCTGTGTGTGTGGGGTACATCCATGTGGGCCTGTGGGGACAGTAGGTGTATGAGGGGGATACTGGGCCTTTAGTCCCCCCCAGCAGCGGGTTCAGGCGTTCTGGTAAGAAACGGAGGGGTTTTATTTGCTTTAACAACCCTGCTTGGAGCAGCTGTTTGGGTCAGTCTCGCTCTGGTCCCATCTCCCCGCCCGCCTGTTCCCTCTGCGCCCCGGGAGAGGTGGAACGGGAATCCTCTGGCGGCTTCTGGGAGTTATTCCCGGCAGCATCGGGAGGGTGACTCTGTGAAGGAGCTGGATATGCCGGAGAAGGAGAAAGCCTGGAGTCTGTGCCAACAATTGCAAACGCAAGAGAATTGTGGCCGATATTTCAGGGCATTTACACCAGGCAGCGTGTTCTACCTTCCTGCGCTGACAGCGCTGCGTGTTTGCGTTTTGGGAGTGTAACCTGGGCACAAAACAATAGGATTTGACTGATTTTGAAGCTTAGAAACTCCCGAGTTCTGTGGAGCTCCTTAAACTTCATGTTTATTTATATGTACGTGGTGCTGGTTTCTTAAGAATGGGGGCATGGGGGGTGCAAGTCCCATGGGATGGATTAGCATCCTCCGAAGTCAGCTGAACTACTGTGGTCATGTAATCCATGGATGCTTTATTATTATTAAATCTATTATTATTAGATCTTCTAGACATAAAATTCAAAAGTATATAAGAAACATCTGTCGAAAGAGGGGTTTGCATGACATAAATCTCAACACAAGTGGCAGCCTGCAGGGAAATGAGCTGATCCTGCTGTTGTACGCTGAGAAAGGTGCTTTTGATACCATTAATAGTAAATCTGTGATACTTCTTATACATCCACTTGATTTTATTACCTTGAGTAGCCCAGTATATTTTAGTGATGCTGCCTCTTTTAGTACCAAAGAGGAGGTCCTTCAGAGGTAGAAGATGTGGGGGCTGAAATCCAGAGCTGTTGGTGAATGTTCCTTTAGTTGGAGTGGAACAATTTAGTCCATTTTGCACTTAAATTACTGTAGGAATTTAACCTTCCTCGTCTTTTACCTCCTGCTTGATGGCTTTCATAGAGGGAAGTTTTGCAACTAGGAAAACTCCTCCAGGATTTACCCTGCCAGAACTAGCTGTTATTAGAGAAAAGAACTCTCCAGAAAACATTGCTTTTTAAATATGCACCATATTTGAAGCAGTAGACTTAAAAAGGTGAAGTGTCAGTGATATTTGTAGAGTTGTGATGCCATATATTAAGGTATTTTTTTATATATGCAGCAGGCCTCAAGAATATCTTGGTTTGGACTAAAATTTGGGCAAATATTACTTATTTAAAGATTCTGTAAAGTGTTGATGCTTCTGGCATTACTATGAAAATTCTTTTCCTTTCTGCTTAAGTCTTAATCTCATAAAAATTAAGCACACTGTTCAGTCGACTGCTGAAAATATACGTTGGAATTCATTATTTAGAGTTCATTATGTAGAATTTCTTGTTTCCTGAATGTAAAATTGATAGTTGTTTCATGAGAGCGAGGACTGGGGAAAATTTTGTTTCTACTTTATAAGTTCTGCAAAATTTCATCAGTTCATAATTTTGGTATTTCAGCACAACAGAAATTGTGCTGAAACACTATGAAAATAGTCATTGTATTTTCCTTCTCTGTGCTCTTGACTTGTAAAGAAATAAGGTGTGTAATGTGAATTATTTTTTCCCGTCGGTCTTTATTCAAATAAAACTGGAGGCCTCTTTTTGTTGAGGGTTTGAGGCTGTACTCATTGGCTTGTTGGAAGGAAAAAAAAATAAGTATTTTTCTGAATGACAAAAGTGGGTTGGAATGAAAAAAGGAAGCAGTTGTCTTAAATAATTTAGCCTCAGATTGATTCCACGGGCTCATTTGCATAGCGGTGTATTGACTCTATATGACCCTTTCACTCACTCAGCTGAACAATTCCATATGGAATTCTCCTATAGCATTATTCTCTCTAACAAAGAATGTCTTTTGATCCGTGGGGATTGTAGCCTGAATGCAAACATTCTGTAAGAATTGCATTTACCTAACAACCACAGCTATATGGTTTGTAAAACATGAATGAAAACTAATGCGTGCCTGAGCTCACTTGCTGAAGTTTCACTCCAGTCAGCAAATGGAAGTTGAAGTTCATCTCAGCGTATTTTAGAAGGTCCTTTTCATTTAAAAACAATGATAGAACCTGTGGAAGTTTGTGGACTCATTTAACTCGTTTGAAAGTGATGAACGTGACAGTTCTATTCAGACAGTCCACGGTGCTTAACAACACATTGTACCTTTTTTGTTCTTTTTTCTTTTTTTTTTTTTTCCCCATAAGCTGCTGCCCAGACCTGAGAAAGGCCTTTTTTTCCTTTTGTATGGAAACTTTCTGTTGTTGTGGCTACTGACTGCTCAGCAGAACGTGTTGTTCAGGGAATATAGGATGTCCCCTGTCAGTTTTTCCTCCCTTTTTCAGTTTAAAAATATAAAATTACAGTGTCCAGTAGTAATAGAGGCCTGGTTAGTCTAAATATGTGCTTGGCTCTGCAGTCACCCTGCCAGTGGGGGATAAGGATTCTTGCTTAATTGGGACTGAATTAGTGGGGAAGTGTTTGGTTGCTGGAAAATGGGAAACTTGCCCTCCTGTTAAAGAATTAGGCCCATAAAAATGCAAAAAATAAAGAGGAAATGCAGTAAGTTTTTTTACTCTGTAAAAAAAATTGACTGATAAAGTAATTTACCCATGTAAATTAGTGCCCTATCTATGTCTATACACACAGTGTACAATATACTGAAATACTCATTGTATTTTCTTTCTCCGTGCTCTTGACTTATAAAGAAATAGTGTGTGTAATCTGAATTATTTTTCCCATCAGTCTTTATTGAAATAAAACTAGAGGCCTGTTTTATAAGGAAGAGGCAAAGCAATTTGATTTTAGTGTGTGAAGTTTGGTGACTGAATAAAATGGGGTGGCTGAGTAAAAAGAGGGTGTTGTACAAGTGTATTGTGATTTATGGGGGAAATTGTGCAAGATATATTCTATATTTATGTCATAATTCTACTAACAATGTAGAATTAATAACTTGGTGATGTAGAATCACCAAAAATAGATTTCTTGGGGTTTTCTTTTTTTAAAAAAACTTAAAATAGTGTCTGTTGTTTAAGAATCTGCGGGACTCAGCAAAGAAAAACTTTAAACAGTTTCATTTGCAACCCAATTAATTGGTTTTCATCTTTCCTTTTAGGAAAGATGCAAATGCTGCCTTGCTGAGTAACTTTGAGGTAAGTTTATCTGCATCCTGGTTTTAAACCAGCAGTTTAAAGCTGTCATCAGTCCCTTGTATAATCTTTGGAAGCTGAAAATTGGCAGTGGCAATCAGCAGGACCTGTAGGTGATTTACACCCCCCTGCATTTGATTTGTGTTTAATAAAACAAGCTTTTTAAAGAAGATTTGGAGATGGTTTTGTTAGTAATGGATACTGCATTATTATCTATTTGGTCCCAGAATTCTTCCAGAAAGTTTAAACATTTTTCAGCTGCTGGAGTCAGTGTTTCCTATTTAACTTAATTGTTGTGATGTGCAGTCTCATCTAAGAACCTGTAACTTATCAATGCAGAGATGTGTTAAAATCAGAGCTACTGGAAATGTAGTTTTACACCTTTGAATGGTTGACAGAATTTTTTTTTTTAAAGCTGGTCTGAGATCTGTTACTGAGGATAAACACTCCTAGAAGCCAGTGATGTACCTTAGCCTGGAGTCATGAGGAGGCTGCAGTGCCCTGTCAGAGCAAACAGTGAATATTGGCATTCATATAACAAAAAATAATCTTACTCAGAACTTATCTACAGCAGAAAATAATTCTCCTCTCTCCTCAGTCAAGGTTTTTTTAGTGAGGTGGAAAGAAATGTCATGGCCTTGTTGGTTTAACTTCAGGCAGGTAATGCAAAGATTTCAGTGCTTTGTTTATTAATGTAATTTTTGGAACAGTTTTAATAACCCAAGTGCTTTGTTTATATTGTTTTATTGCTGAAGCTGTTTTTTATTGCACAGCTGTTTCATTCTGTTCTGAAGTAAATCTTGAAGTGTTTTATCCTGAGCTGCATCTGCCTGTGAACAGCAGAGCAACCATCTGGTGACTTAGAAGGGCTTTAATGAGGTACTTGGAAAGAACTCTCTTGCCTAAGAAATAGATGGTACTATGTCAGCCAAACTAATATCAAGTGTCTGTCTGTTAAAAACATACTATTGCAGTAAAGAAAATAGCAAGTATGGCTTTTCAGTGCTCTTCAAAGTACTGATTCCCTTAAAACTACCAACACCTTTCCATTGGCTCCTCTTTCCAGTTGCAATTTGACTGGCACAGCCAACATTCTCCAAATTGAGGTGGTACTTTGCACAGAAAGTGGTGTTTGACAGGAGCATTCAGGACTGACACATATTTTCCATGCCTACAGTTCTTCTGCGAGTTTGGAGCTGTGATTTTGTGTTTTGTTGCCACTTGGCTGCATTTTCTTCAGGTACTCACTGGGTAAAAGTTCACAGCTCGAGTTTTGGATTTCAGGTCAGGATTGACAGGGGTTCCTTTTTCATAATTGCTGGATTTATAGCTGATTGTGTTCATATTTCTCACTGTCTAGAAATGCTTTTTTCTTGTTTCTGTGGCCCTGTCAGTTTGGAATGCCATTGGATCTGGATCTTGAATTAAGCTGGTTAAAAATGAGGGGATAAACAGTAAGACGTGGTACTTTGCTGTGGGTGTTGACTCTGGATATACTGTAAAACCAGAAGCAAAACATCTGAAGAAATATCACTCTAGTGTGGTTTAATACAGGAATTAAACAGTAATGGTGATGCTGTCTGCATGTTTTGCTGCATGTCTAGGGATGATGAATCTCACTCCTACACTGGTATTCGTTGCATCGTAAATGTGAAGACAATTTCATTACATGCTTTTCAAGAATGTCTGCTTGTATTACCTCGTGATGAAAGCTAATTTAATCTCTGTGGTTTAACATACCACAACACCATGCTGGTCACTGTAACATTTATGAATAACTCCACTGGAATTTATGATGGGATCGTTAATCTCAGGAGCATCTGTAGGTCAAGCCTTGAGTTAGTGGGTTCCTGGCAGTGTGACACGTGTAGAGTTTACTTTTATTTTGCAGACAATGGAAAAATGCCTCTCTGGGAGGCAGGATATGTATCCAGTTTAATGTTGTAGGTACATCTGTCATAACAAATCCAGTAGAGCCATAAACTGCTGCGAGATGTTGCTTCAAGCATCACTCGTGTAAATGGGAGCTCGGTGCCAGCACAGCAGGGCATGACCCAGCTCTGTTCAGGACAGGAGGTAAACAAGTCACATTCCTCCTGGCAGCTTCTCCTTTGGGGCTCTTGGGTGACATTGAACAAGTGTTGAAAGTCTGTTTAAAATAGTCACAGTTATTAAAAAACAATTTACATACCTATTCATGGCTCTGGGGCCAAAACATTTGCCATTTCAGTCGCTGGTGCACCCACCAAAACAGCCACGGGTTTTTTTGCTGTTTGGTTGTTAGGATTTTTTGTTGATCATTTATGTTTTCCTGTTATAATATTTTCAGGTAAAATACTCTCAAGTGGTCTAGAACACTTTATTTTTTTCCCCTCAGGTGTTCCAGTTACTCACTGATCTCAAGCAGCAGCGCAAAGAGAGCGGGAAAAACAAGCAGAGCTCTGGCCAGCAGAATCTGAACACAATCATGTATGAGGTGAGTAGCACTGTCAAAGTCCTTTGAAAATTAGCCCAAGCTGGAGAAATTCGCATCCTTAGGTCTGCATATTAATAATTCAGTATCAAATCTCCCCTATTAAGAAGCACAGTAGAATATTTTATTTGCCACTGGCCTGTGGTCAGTTTATTCAGGTTGCAGGGTAACTGTGCTCTCAGGGCAGAGGCATGCAGCTCTTGTTATTAAAATCTATCACAAAAAGAATTTTAAACCCCCCTGGTTTTGAACTCTTTAGTTTTATGTGTTGTTTTTTTTTTTTTTTTTAATTCCAAATATTCTATCTTTTTAAATACACAGGGCAGAACTTGCAGTCGTCTAAGGAATTGATATCATATGATCAATGATTTCAGAACTGATCAGACAGATCACATATGGCATTTTTTTATTAACAGAATTAAGTTAATCATTTCCTACTAAAATAGATTATTTTAAATTCTATTTTTTGGTCCAAAGAAATGCAAAATCACGTGTACAGATAACATCAGCTGGACGCCAGGTTGGTAATAAACATTTCATCTCCTGCTAAGAAAGAGCTCCTCAAACCATATAATACAAATAATAACATTTTAAATATCTCAAATTAGCAACTTGGTATGGATCTGCAGTGTGACCCTTTGTGTCTGTGCTGGAGAATTGCATGAGCAGCCCTGTGATGGACAGTGAGCTGAAAGCACTTTGCCCTGCTTGCATGAGTAATTCTGAAACTGCTCATGTGAATAAGATTTGGCCTAGGCTCTGGTTTTGTTTTAGTTCTGGCTTTGTTTGAAAAGGTATAGAGTTTGTAATTCCCAAGCCTCGTGTTCAACAAAATAGTGGCTTAGAAAAAAATCTAAATTAAACCTTCATGGAGACTGACAGTCTCTCCCTGTACCTCTCTGAAACAGCTGAGAAAGATCCTGTAAGTAAATTTTATCAGGATGCACCTTAAAGCTTTAATTGCCTTGTTGTATTTCTGTGTGTGAAATACCCATAGGATGCTTGGTTTTGTTCATGGTGTAAACTCTATGTCTATTTTCTTTATATTTGCCTGAAAGGAAACCAGAATTTGATCTTCCAGGATTGTCTGTCCTTGCTGAGTGTGTCTTCACGAGCTCTGTGCAGACTTGTGTCCATTGGTACTGAAATAACCAGATAAAGGGAACTTTGTTTTGCTGAATATTTGTCATTTTCATGATTTGAAATTACCAAGAAACAACTAAACTGGAAAAGAAATTACTCCTATTAAATAATTCTGTTACATGACAATGTGATGATTTCATTCCAGTCGTTACTGGTGAATAACAACTTCATTTCATCTGAAAGGGTCAGACTGGGCTTACAGAAAGGAGGTTTATCCAGCACCTTACTATTCTTTTAAATGTATTTCTCAGCAGTCCAGGGAAACTGGTCCTGAAATTTATGTTTCATCAATTCTCTCTCTGTTAAACAGGATGAATTATGTGCTGTTGAAGCCTGTTTTCCTTACCAAGCATTTTTAAAGGAGAGCAGATTTTAATGGAAATACATTGAACATACATTTACATATTTTCTTGTAGCTCATTTTCTCCAGTATCTGTTGTTCTCTGCTCTGTGAACACAATTCAGTTTTTTTGGCTTCTGACATTTCAAGTATAAATATTCAGCTTAAAGATTTTCTGACAAAGAAACTCAGAGTATTATGGGGGTATTATTATTATTATTGATAATCTGTGCATGGGATATCCTACCACACACGTCTGCATTTGCAGTGCATTAAATGCATCATGAGTCAGTTGTGTTGATATTTTAAGCTTTGCAGTATCAGCAGGTGAAGATTTTCTTCCTAAGTTCCAAACAAGCATTGCCAGTGCTCTTTAAAACCCTTCAGCTGCTGATTCACACAGTGCAGGAAGGATTTCCTTGACTTTTCTATTGATGCTTATTATTTCCAACTCTTCATTTTGGGGTCTAATTCAAGCAACAGTAAATACTAAAGAAAACTCTAAGCTACTTCCAGTGAAAAGTCAGCTGTGAACTGGAATTTGTGTGGGGTTTTTTATCAACAAATTGGGTTTTTTTTTTTACTCAGGTCAAATTACATCGTGTCTTGTCCATCTGTTAGATATTGTGTTGTTTTAAATAAAGCAAACTAATGTAACATCTGCAAAAGTTAGCTGAGGGTAGTGGGTGTTATGCAAAAAAAATGGAGCAAAGATAAATTGTTTCAAGTCAGATAAACATTTCTAATAGTACAGTGTCCTTTCAGATTTAGTGGCAACTCACCTAATCTGCTTCTGTGAACTTCAAGAAAGCCAAATATGCAGATAAAGGATGAAAACAACCATAGATTAGAGAGTTTAAAGAGTGATTTATGGGTTGGCAGTGAGAGTATCCCTGGCACTGAGCACAGGAAAACTTGGCAGAAGGTAATGTGGGTTTAAGGATGAATAGGAATTCAACTTTCCTAAGTGCTTTTAAAAAACAAAAACAAAACAATTAAAAAACAAACACCACAGTAAACCCCCAAACCTCCTATCTTGGTTCTTTTTAAAATAACTGTGGATCTGTAAATATTTATTGGTTTGAAAAGGAAGAGTAAATGAGTGATACTATCCAGCACAGCTGTGTGTCTTGATCACAGTGTTACCATCACCTGAGATTATTTCAGACCAAGGGAGCAAATGTCTCTGCACAAAACAGCAGGTGGGGTTTTAGTAGACAGAGCTAAAACTCCCTCCTTTGCTGTGCCCTTCAATGTGCAACTTTGGGCTCTGGACAGGTCAGATAATGTTGGTCCAGAGCCACAGAGGGAATAGTCACAGCTGTATTTCTCACCTGGGTGTGTGGGGAGCTGGCTGGGTTGGGGCTTTGTGGATAAGTATTAATGTAGTTTTCAAGTACATGGAGTTGTAGTTAGATAAGATTTCTTACTCCCTCAGAAAATTTCAGTATTTTCTTATTGGAGACAGAACAGTATGAGTGACCTGTCTCATCTACGACAGCACTTCCATATGTTAAAAAAAGATATAAAACCAAACCCCAAAACCTGAGTTGACTTTCCCAGTTTTTCTGAGTAGTGCTGAGTAGGCTCTTCAAGATCTCCTTGTTTCATACACAACTGGTAAAGCAAGTAGTAACTGTGCAATGAAATGTTCTTTCTTTCTGTCCTTTGCAGACACTGAAGTACATTTCAAAAACACCCTGTAGGTACCAGAGCCCCGAGACTGTGAGAGAATTCCTCATTGCAATGAAAGGCCATAAGCTGACCAAGTAAGTACAGATGTGCCTTTGAACAGAAGTGTAAACTCATGGCAGTGTAGGAAAACTGATCCCCATGTGCAGTGTGTGTTAATCTGTCTGGTTTTAATGCATGTGTTTTCTGCCATTGTTTGAATACTCAGCCAAACATCTTTTCCTTCAGTCATTAATGCCTACATGAATTAGGATTTTCTTCAGTGGCCTTGTGTTTATCAGTGTATTTCTCAAGCAGATTCTTGTCAGTATATTGATTTCAGAATGGTTTCACATGATCCAAGCACAAAGAGCTCATAGAGTGTTTTCTGTGGAAGAAGTTGGAAGTTGTAGAAGGGTTTTGAATGCAGTAAGAGAACTGCAAAAAAAAATCCCCCCAACTCATCCTTGGTTTGTTATTATCTTATTTTTATGAATGTCCTTAAGCAAAAAGGTATTCATTTCTAAAAGGCAAAAAAAGAGCAATAGGCAAATAAATTCCTGGGAAGGAATAAGTAAATAAAAGTATAGAAGTATGGGAAAGAACATTACTCTTAATTTTTATATGAATCTGTGAACCCCAACTGCTGCAGATCATCTCTCAGGGTTGGGCTCTCTTCCTGAGTTTAGGAAAGTAAGATGTTTGTCTTTTCTTTATATGCTGTTGGTCCTCTCATATTTATATAACATTTATATTTATATACATTTCAGTTACCAAAATATTATGTCAATCAACCTTCCACCCTCCCTCTGCAGTTTCTAATGAGGCTGAATATACAGCTCCTTCTTATTTGGGGAATTTCTGGGTAGAAAATAAAAGATTTCCTTCACAGTTACAAGGAGACTCAAAAAGGGCATTTTCCCTCTTTGGCAGTGGTGTGAGTGGCTGTTCACAGTGCTTGAAACACATAATCCTCTTGAACCTCTGTGCAGAGTGGGAGTGAAGCCTGTTGTAAACAGTCAGACCCAAAGGGATGGAACCACTTGGCCACTTGCTAGGAGAGCTCCAATGGCTCATCTGATTTTTAAAGCAGAAAGAACTCCTATTTAGCTGCTTCTAAATGACTCCTCCTTCACTTCAAAGGGGTGGTTTGTGGTTTATGCTGTGTAGACACTGATGGCATTTTTATTCCCTGCTGGAAGGACTCCCGAGGAGTTTGTCCCCTGGGAAAGAGGCTTTTATTAATTTGGTTGTATCACAAAAACAAATGTACAGTGAGAGCATCTGGAGGGTGCAGTGCTACAGGGCAAGTTTTTTACCCTGTCCAAAGCAGAGGGAGTTGAGTAGAAAGCAGATTGTCAGCTATTTTGTTGACTTTCAGTGCCCCCTCTCTACAAACAATCCAGGATATCAGCAGCTCTGGGGCTGCTGGAATTGCAGACATAGGAGTGCTGGTACTTGGAAGCTTTGTCATGGATATTGGAACTGGGCTTGTAGAGCTTGCTTTGATAGAACTAAAGTTGCCAGGTCGGTATGTCAGTGTTTAGTCCTCATTTTATATAGCAGGATACTAATTTATGTAGTGGGGAAGGTGTCCTAATTGTTTTCTAACACAGAGGTATTGAAGCATGGAGAAAATACTCTGTTATAAAAATACTGCTTGCTGTAAAGAGCTGGTGGTATGGCAGTAAAAGTGTCTTAAAACTGGGAACAAACTATTTCTTGAGTAAATAGTGAGCATCCTTCATTTCTAGTAATGTGAAACAGTCCTGTTTGAAGTGAAATAGGCTGGTTCTGTCTGTACAGGGCAGCAGTTCAGGAAGGCATCAGCAGAACAATCTATCACAGTAAAAAAGCAACAGGAGTCAGAAAGGCAGGGTAGGATTTTTCAGAGAAAAAGTAACTGAATGATGCAGGTATAAAAGTCCCACTAGAAGCCAAAGGGTTTATTTTTATTGAAAGCTCATTTTTAAACTTCTTTCAGGTAGAATTTGACCAGAACCTCGGGGTTAACTCTTGCAAAAAGTCAGGAGAGTTCTGTTACCACATTAGACACCTTGACTGCAGCTGCTCCCCTGCATGGGATCTGCAAGACTGAAGTCTTAAATTATTTGAGTCATAACACAGAAACTTCTAACTACAGAATCTGTGTCCCATAATGCTGAGATATTTTGTAGAAGATCTACCCAAATATTCACCTTCCCACTCCTGCTCATTCAGTGAGCTGGAATGCAGCACTGCTGCAAAGGTTGAAATAGTTACAAGCTTGAAATGAGATTTTTGACTATTTAATTTTTTTATGGATGCTAGGAGGTGCCTTTGTGTTTAGGTATCATCCTCTCTGTTCTTTTTCTCTGAATCAGTCTGTAAGCTAAGCAGGAGGATTATTCCCAAGTCATTTCCTTGTGCATAATGGCAGAAGGATGAGAGTGAAGAGCCAACCACTATTTTATGTGGCAAATTTACTCTGTTTATGGTTTATCAGAACTCACATTGGGTGGTGATACCTTAGTTTTGTGAGCATCCTGTACAACTTCTGCTTTGTTAATATCTTTGTCATCTGGTCAAGAACTTGCCAACTCTGCATTTGCCGTGCACTTCACAAAATAAGGAACAGAATTGTTTAGTGTGATCCTGACACTTTTTTCCATCTTCTAATCTTTTCCATTCAGACACTTCAGTTTAGAAGTGTCAGAGCCCATCTGGCAGCCTCTTCACACCAAAACACAGAAAGCATATGGTGTGCAATTACTATATAATGCACTTTGTGTTCAAACCACTTAAAATAGTAATGCCTCCAAGGAAATTTTGAACTACCCTTTGGTTCATAACCAAGGTCATTTCAACACTGCTCTCTTGCTGAATAAATAAAAAAAACTAAAGGCTTTGATCATTTCCATTCCGTGGGATGGAGGTGGTGTTTGTATAAAAGGCTTCACTAGGGATTTCATTCCAGCTATCTGGTGGAGAGCTTTCTTCCCTCTGAGAGGAAAGAACCTGCAGTGTTTGCTCCCCAGGACCTTCCTTGCATGATCTCTGTGATGACCTTTCCTCCCACGAAGAGTAATGAATTCCAGAGTCTGTCTTTGCTGCTCCCTTTCTGGGTAAGGCACTCCCAGATGGGCTCTCTCCCTTAATCTCTTAGCTGGTCAAACGCTGTCTGTGCTGGTAACAGCTCTCTGAAGGTACCTGATTTGATTTAAGATACATCTATATGTGTTAGTTGGTGTCTGTCCTCAGACAAATCAATCTGGTTAAAGGGCATGACTGGCTAGAAACACCCCATCATCTCAGGCTGCTTCCTCTGCTTTAAATTCCTCTGCCTCTAATCAAGGAGGAAACAATTAAACGGTGTCTTCGAGCTCATAATTAGGCTCAGAAACTTCTTTTCTAATACAAGGACTTTGAAGGTAAGAGAGGGATTTGCAGCCCTACCTAAAAACCCGCTGGATGAGCTGCTTCCCCTGCTCAGAGTGTGATTACAGCCCTGGGCACTAGGCTGTGCTCGTGGATGGGAGAATTCCCAGGGAGGGAAGGGACGCCAGGCACCATCCGGAGAAACAGCAGCGATTGAGGCACAACGGAGCTTTTAATCAAGGGAATTCTTATTTTTCCAGCCCTCCTTCCCCACGCCTGCAGGACTAACCATGCAGGATGCGTGCCAGGAGAGAGCTGATAGCACTGTGCTGGCAAATGTGCAGCTCCTGTAAAATCACCTCGAGTCATCAGTTACTGCTGATGTTTGCTACTCAAAATACCAGGGTAACAGACCAGCATCCGTTTTCTGATGGATTTGTCTCGTTAGTGTTACAGGCAGGAAAAAAAAAAAAAAAACAAACACCTAAAAGGCGAATTTTAAATGTAAATACTAACGTGTGCAAACAAACCTTTCAGAGTCATTTCAGAGAGCTGCCTTGCTAAATGCAGCAAATTCAAAGAAATCTAAACATACATTTCACTGATATAGTAAGGTTTGGTAAAGCACAGTTTTCTCCACGGTTTTTTATCCATTTCATCAGTTATTTTGGTAAAATTGAAACTGTAGAACTGAGATTTTTTTTTTTTTTTTAAATGAAAACCTCTGAACTGACAGTGAATTTTATTATTACCTTGTTGAGGCCTCAAGCTTTGGCTAACACTGCAGTACAGTAAGCCATGTTGTACTTGGAAATACAGTATGCCACTAGCAGCTAATTTTCCATTTTTCTCCCTGGAATGGCTTCATATTTTGTAAGGTAGGGGGAGTGGAGTTGCATGAAAAGAACATTTATTAAGCTTGAGCTCTGTAATTATGGTTAAATGAAAACTGGCTCTACTTGTGCTTCTTCCTGTTACTGATAGCCTATCTTGGATCTAATTTTGGAAGAACCAAATTTCCAATCACTGCATATTACTATAATTTTCAAAAAACTGGACAGAAACATTGCCCTTTTTGTCTTTAAATCAACACAGTCAGGGAAGTGTTGAGCTGAAAATCGGTGATACTTTTAGAAAGTATTTTCCCTCATTCCTGCCAAAAACTACAACCTCTACAATATTAAAGGCTGAATGATTTACTTTGTAATTTTTGTCTCCTCCAAAGCTTTCCAAATGAATATTCAACAGCAAGTCAGGATGATGCTTAGTTAACAATGGCATCATTTAATAGACTTTACAAAGACTATTGTGTTTCCCACCGGATTGATTGGAAATTAACCCTCTGATCTGGAGCAGCCTGGCTCTGTTTTGGTTTTTTCTTGCATTCAGATAACCACTGTCAGCCCTCAGATTTCATCCTGGAGAAATGTCCTGGCTTGGAATTGCAGAGAACACTGTGATTTCACATTTTGGGACTCCTGTGATCTGGGTTCAGATGTTACACACGAGTTGCCGTGGTCGGCTCAAGGCCACGGGATTTGACTCTGAAGTATTTTCAGCACTAATAAAATCTGTGGTTATGTATACAGCTGTTACTTTATGGTTTTCCTAGCAACTATAAAACATACATTCCTGGGGATAAATTTGCCTCTGCACAGTCACAGATGTTTTAAGGGGGTTTTTTTTGTAGCTCTGTGTGCTGTATCTTGGCACTGATACTGTAGATCTCTTATTAGAAAAGCAGCACATGCTTGCTTATATATTTATGTACTGTCTAGGAGCTCAGTAGATAAAAGATGGGCAATACCAAGACACCTAATAGGAGATTTTGGTTAAAATATAAATGCTGCTAGAATTTGCTCATATAAATGCTGCAAGAATTTGCTCACTGCTGACAGCATATGATACATTTTGCCTTTAATTTCCACAACAGAATGTAACTATTTTTATTATTTTTTTAGAATTGATGTACTGTAACAATGTGCTGTCTGTGCTGTGGGGGATGTTAGACACGTGACAGTGGGGTTGTTTTTTTGTCTTTTAGGAGAACTGTTTTTTAGGATTACACTCTTGTAACCCTCCATCCTCAGCTCCTACAGCAGACACTCTCCCCTCAAACACAGACCTCAGACCCATTTTCTTGCCCATAACTGCACACATTTTTTGCCTCCTGCAGCCTGAGCTTTGTATGTCCCCCAAGCCCACTCCACAGCATTTTGCCCTCAGCTGGAAATGCTGATCTTGGCTCCAGCTGAGTCCCAGAGCTGCTGGATGTGGCCTGGAAGCAGGAGGCTCTGCTCAGCCCCACAGCAGTAATTGCCATTTTGAGATTTCTCACCAGGCAGGTCCTGTGCAAGTCTGTAACACGGCCCATTAACTCTGATTAGTGGAATCTTGCTTTTATGTGAGAAAATTACTTTCAGCTGTCACTCATCTTTTGTATGTATTCTTCTCTTGAAAGAGCAGCTTTCATGTTCCAAACAGTGTTACTAAAATCCAGGCAGTCCAGAGAAAATACAAATATGTATGTTAGGGGGCAATTAAGCTGAAAATATCCTTTACCTTCTGTTTAGATGAATGGAACAGTTACCCTTTTTATTTAATGAGTGTCAGTGTAACAGGCATTCCATAGAAAGTGTGAAGATGAATTCACAGGAGCTGGAAAAAGTTAATTTTATTTTTTAGATTTAAGGGAGCACGAACTAAATTCAGACTTATGTCTGTGCCCATGGCAAATAGTGCAGTCAGGACTGATCCTGATGCATGTTCAGGCTTGCAGTTTGCCTTCCTTAAAGCTTGGTTTTGACGGAATTGGGGTTATTCAGGTTCGAATTTGTGCCTGTGCTGTCAGGAAATTCCAGGTATGCAGAGCCCCTGATCCTGGCAGTCAGTTTTTGGTGTCAGTGTTAAAAAGATCAGTGCAGTGGGTTTTGAGCTCCAGCTCATACCACATGTACTGCTTTGAGGTGTTGAGGGCTCAGTAACCCGGTTTTCTATCACACCAATGAGATTTAGAGACATTTTTTGAGTGTTTGTTTCCAGGGGATGCCAAGATTTTCCTGGTCACTCCATTTGTGATGAGCTGGAAGGTCAGAAATTGCACAGGGGGAGAAGAGCTGGGACCAAACCATCCAGAGGGTCCCCTGGGCTGGTCTTGGAGCTCACACTTGGAGCCCATGTCTGTGTTCTGGGCAAACAGCAGGAATTGCTGCTCACATGGAACTCCTGAATAAGCAGAGATAACCCTTCATGTACTGCACACACAGGCTTGATGTTTCTTAAATAATCCTGGGAGCTGGATATTTACTGAGCAGAGGAGGAGAGTTCTCTGTTGCAGGAGGAGCAGATCTCCCCAAACGTGGTGTACCCACCTGTGTGTCAACATGTTTGTCCACATCTTCAGCTACAATCAGTTCTCCCTTTGCAATCTTGCAATACTTTTCCAAAATAGAACAACTTTATATCTTCATTATCAGAACAGTGTTCAGGTAGAGCAGCAAGTAACTGGCCTGGTACCAACTTTCAGATGGCAGTTACTGAATAGTTGGTTATTTCTCTGTGCCTTTGGATTCAATCTCTATGGAAATGAAACAAATACATTGCTTACATCGTAATTATGTGTGAACATGGCTAAAGGTTGTTGTGTTTTAGTGTTAATTAGTGTTCACGCTACACAAGCACCTTCATTTATGTAGCTTTTGGTGGTTTTGCACCCTGCTGTGAATTCCTTTGTGATGTTCTGCATCAGTTTTTCCAGTAGGGAGCTCTGCTGATGAAAAACAGGCATGAAATTCTTCAGATAACATATTTTAATGATTTGCAGGTTCTCTCTCATTCTTCTGTACACATTTTTAAAACTGCAAATCCCTTGAATGGGGCCACCTTTGCTGAAATGATGTTTGAGATCCCTTTGGCCCTACTGTAAAACTTATATCAATTCACTAATGAGTTAGAGTGATGTTAATGCTTATAAGCAGAAGGTCTTTGAGAAGTGACCTTTTTTATTGTGTTCCATATTTCTTGTCTTCAGGAAACATGAACAATTTCCCTAATTGATTGTTTTAGTCACGATGTGTAATTGGTTTTAATTTATTTCTGTTTCCTGCTCTGCCAGTGATCTTCCTGTGATAAACATGATGGAGCTCTACCTGCTTTAAAATACCTCTGGATAAGTCAAGTTTGCATTCTTTAGCTCAGGCATGAAATGGCTTTGGCTATTTAATTCAGTTTGTTTGGCTTTGAAGTTTTGTTGGCGAGAAATTTCAGAGGTGCTGCTTTGGAAAACAAGAAGATGAGAAAATTTATTTTATGTGTTCTTTTGTAAGATTCAGATAATATGCTTTGTCTGCAGCTGTGGTGGAGCTGTAGTATTGGATTGGGATATGTTTTGCTGCAAAGGAGAAGAAAGACTTGTTTGAAAAGGCTCTGATCTCAGAAGTGGCATGTGAGTGCAGTGAGAAACTTGTATAAAGTATGAATTCATTACACAGCCTGTCTTTGTAAGTAGGGCTCTGGGAGGAGGGGGAAGTCTTTTACAAATAGGTGTCCTCAGAGAAACTTGTCTCTGTTTCAGAGGTCTGGAAACTGAGGCACAAACACAGGCCTGGCCAGGGACTAAAAAGCAAATAACACCAAAAGCCAGGACTGGAGCACCAGCTTCTGCACCTCCATCAAGTGCTCCAGGCACTGAACCAGGCAGTTCCCAGCTCTTGAGGAAAAAGCACTAAATCTTTCATGCATTCAGCTGAATTGGCCAGACTTTTGTACAGTGAAGATGGTATTTAATATCTTTACCCAGCTCTGTTCACTTCTACGCGGGTGGGTTTTTTCTCATTGACTCCTTAAATGACCTGCTTTCAATTTTAAAGGATTTCAGTACTTATCTTCTGTCATTACTGAGGTTTTATATCTGCCCTTTCATTAGTTATGACAGTAGTAGATGGCAGCAGTTATAAATACCTCATCTCTTTGACAGTAAAGCAGCCACGAGTGGTGCTCTCAGCTCAGAGTTAAATCCTGCCACGCTCTCCACAGTCTCATGTTGTAAACATCAAGCTGCCAAATAGATCTAAGTGATTAGCATGGGAAAAAAAAGGAGGTGTATTCACTGCTTCCCACCAGTGGAAACATATTTGGCTTTCATCCTTGGTTGTCCAAAAGCAAAGCAAATTAGTAGTAAGAAATAGGAGAGTTTCTTTGAGCTTTCTGTTGTGAATTGTTCCTTTAAAAATTGCAAGCTTTTCTTCTGAAGCTGAAAGTCATAGTTAAAATGATTAAAACGATTTTCCAGCATTTATAAAAATGATGGCAGAATAACTCAGGGACTAGGTGGGTCAATTAAAAACTGCTTTTTTTTTTTTTAGGATTTTATTGCCAGCAGGTTGGCTCTAAAACCGACAGTCAGTGTGTCATGTCTTTAGAGCTGTTTTCTGTTCTTAAGGGCTGTGATTACACATCACAAAACCCTCTGGTGTAACAAAGTTTGGTATCAGCAGAGCAGTTGTCTTTGCTGAGCCACAGTCCCCTCTCTTCTCCTGTTCCCATCACCAAGGTACTTGCAGTTATGGGCATTTTAGCTGAAGAGGGTCTGTTGGATCATCCAGTCTGTGTCAATACAGGATTTTTCCTTCAGGAGGCATCAACCAGGAAAATGTGATGCCAGTGCTGCTCATTCTGTGTGTTCAGTGGGTAAATGCAGGGCCTTATTCTCTAGGGGTCAGCTGTGTGCTGCTGAAGTGCTGAGTTCAGTCTCTGGACGTGTCCACGTGTGTGAATGTACGACCAGAGCAAGGCACTGCTCCTCACAGGCTTCTCCTGAGCCCCGCGGGCTTTGGCCATGCACCACTGCCTGTCCCTGACTGATGGAGGGCTGGAGTGCCCTGTCAGGGGGTTGGATTTCAGGGGCAGATGCTGTCAGAGGCCATTTGAGATGAGATGGTGTCTCTGAGGTGTCTCCAGACGCACAGACATCGACCCGTTGGTTGTAAACGCCTGCGTGGAGTGATCTGTGCGCTCTCTTGAAAGCCAGAAGGTTTCCTTTCTAAGCAACCCACAGGTGCAATAAACTGGGGGAAAACCCTTCAGAATTGGTTTCAACATGCATCAAAGATGCCCTTTAAATAGTCATAAATGCCAAGATTTAGTTCTTCAAAATTGTAGTTTACTAAGTGGTCTATTTGTATTCACTCTGTGTTTGCCACGGGCTAAAAGAATAAATGAGTTATTGCCATTTGGCTGATGGATTGTAACTTCTTAGGTATGATAATTGTCCTTGTGGTTGTGTGTTCATAACAGAAGAGTCTCTGATTTCTGATGAGTTGTTTAGCATTTCTGCACAGCCTTAACAAAGTATCAGTGCATGTTAATTAATGCTTGTACAGTAATGGTCTAAATGTCTCTGCTTGCCACCTTGGACTAGAGGTGGCAACAGCAGCCTGTCTAAACACACAAGAAAATACTGTGTTTAAAACACCCAAATAATGTCGATTAAACCACACTGCAAACCCAGTCAGAATTATTCCTGGCAGTGGCATCTCATGCCTAAGTTATCAGGAATGTATTTGCATCACACCAGTCAGTTGAAGGGATCCTCAAATTACATAGTAACGTGGATTGTCTTACACTTTGCTTTTAACCAGGGCAGAAAAGCTCCAGCTGCTGAACCACAGGCCTGTGACGGCAGTTGAAATCCAGCTGGTGAGTAACAATGCCTCTGACTGTTCAAAGCTTAAATGGAAGCAGCTTTAACCTTGAAGATCAATTGAATAATTACTTTCTCATGGCCAGTGATTGAATATATCCCTTTATGCACATCTTTACATCCACTGTTTCAAATCCACTCAGCTTCCTGTCTGAGACCTCCTTAGAGACTTGCCCATCTTTCTCTCAGACAGATTCTCCACCTCTTGTTTGCTTCAGTGTCACATGTTTAAAATGCTTGATGCAGTCATTAAAGGTTAGTAACCAGAGTCTTGCAACTAAGATTATATTTAACCTGGGTCTTTTTGCTGCTGCAGCTCTTGCAATCCTGTACTTCACTTTTTGACAGCTGCCATGACGTGGTTGTTTTGGTGGCAGAGTTTTGTGTTACACTAAAACCAAACGTGCTGAAAAGAAATTAATGACTGATAGCAAATTGTGAGCAGTGATGCAGAATGAGATATGGATATAAACAGACTTCCTCATGGAAAGTAGCCATTGCCAACCTGTTAAGCATAATTCTGGTGTAAAGAGGGATTGTCACTAAATAGAAAGAGATGATTATATTCCCGGAAGGATCTCCTTAGGAATCCAAACCCCCGTGGTAATAAAGAGCTTGTTATAATCAGGATATTATTTCAATGAAGATCTCTTGCATTAAGAACATCTGTTTGCCATCTTAACCTGAAACCAAAGTGAGGAGTAACAGGATCATATTTTGCTGCAAAAAGGGGAAGGATTAAAGAGGCACCAGTAGGACTATTTTTCTTCTGTAGCCACAGAAAAGGGATTATAACACTGAAGGCGTCTCTGGGAAGAATGTTCCCAGCTGAGGAATTAATGCTGTGTTTTGTGATTGAGGAGATCAGTGTCAATCATCAACCCAACCAAGAGCATTAAGGCTTCATGAGCTCTGCTTAGGCACTTAGTCATAAGCCATGATGTGGAGCCTGTCTCGTGCCTTTGTTAGCCTCATGTGCTTAGGCACAGATTTATTTTATTGCCATAGACAGTTTCTTTTTCCCTTCTTTAAATGCAATAATCTTTTGCTGCTTTCAGGTGACTGTATGGTTTTGTTTGTGTCTTCCCTCCTCTCCTTGTTAATCCTTCTTAGTTCCTTATTATCTTACCTACCCATAAAATATTGAAAATAGTTTGCTTCTGTGTCATGTTTGAAGTCCAGGACGTAAATATAAGAAATTTGGGCCTTTATATTAAAAGTCAAGTTTCTGTAGAGTGTTGTACTTTGGATATTCCAAGATTTGTAGTGTGAAGGTTAGATAAAACTCATTGCTAAAACTTGCAGAAACACAGACACGAGATTTGAGTTCAGTGGCAGTTCATTATTTATCCAGAACCTGTCCCTAATGGTCAGTTGTGAAAAATGTGATATTCGTACATTTGGGGATTAGCCTGAATTTCTGTTGTCATGGAAGTGTTGGGGATGTACTTACTCCTGTTCCATTGCAATTCCCCTGTAATTCCCAGGGCTGGTTTCTCCAAAACTACCATTACAGTGATCCTAGTTGGCTGGGCTGTTAACGCTGTGTTAGATGAAGCCTCCCCGAAATTGCAGTACATTCACTCTCTCATCAAAGTCTTTTGAGCTCAATAACTGCTGGGAAACTGCAGAGTGGTTCATTTAAGTGAAATCCAGAGCCTGGGAGCCTCAGCAAGGAAATGATTTTGCTGTTCAGTTGCTGTCTTGAACCATTTGGGGTTTTGGTGAGGACAGGGGAAGGAGATTGTAGCAATCACTGAACACACAAACCCTCTGTCTTCTGTGAGTGTGAAGTAACGCAGAGCAGGGGAGGCTGCTCTGTTTTCCTTTGATGTCCGTGGGGAGAAGATTATCCACACACAGATTTCATGCAGGCAAGTCAATTCACTGCAGCTGATGGATGGGAGACAACCTACTGAGAAGTGAATATTAGGGTCTAAAATTGCCTTAATTCTCTTTCCATTGAACTTCCCCCTGCCTCTTAAAAGCTGTGAGTTGCTCCTGGAGTTGAATCAGAAATAAATGATGATGAAAGCTTCTGACCAGTTCATTTAATGCAGCCACATCAGTCTTCTTTTTAAAAAAGCTTTAAACAAAATGCTAAACAAGCCATATCTATCTCTCACTTGCTCAAAGAGTTCTGATGTCTCAAACTTTTACTCAGTGTTACCCGTCTGTGGAATAAAGTCAGATTTACCTGACAGGCCTTTAATTGCTCATGTGACAGGATAGGTATATTTACTGTTGCTTTTTTGCCTTTCCAGCTTTTTAGTTTTTTACTCTCCCTCTACGAAATTCCCTGGGTTTAGTTGTATGCAAATAATAAATCAATTTTGATGAAAATATATTTAAGCTAAAAACCAAATTTATGTTGTGATCTTTTGATCCCAGGGTCTTCTGTAAGTCTTTCTGCATAAATTGGTGCCATTGTCCATATTTGTCTTTTCCAGACCGTGTGCCAGGGTTTATTTTCAAACAACAATAGCAACAAAAGGAGCATGAAATTCTAATTCATACCCCACAGGGTAAAACACTGTACACACTGCAGCTATCTTGACCTCCTGTTTTAATCTTTAACATATGTTGTTCCTGGCTCAGTGATTCACAAAGGAGGAAGAAAAAAGACACTGATGTTCATCTAACCATGACAGTGGTTCAGCTTTGCTTAGTGCTGAACTGTGGTGGGGTTGAAGATTAAACATCTTCTTTTCTAATGAACAAATTGCTCCACGTTCCTCTCTCAATGGAAAAGTAGATTTTAATTCTGTGCTTTTTAAAAACTGGGTTTTCATCTGTCAAACCAGACAACCTTGTACCTGTGTGCTCTGCATAACCAGGCTGGCAGATTCTCTTTTATTCTTGACTAGAAAGTAATAATGTAAAGTATTCTTCTGGAAAACGGAAGATCTTAGAGGATTTAAACATTTTATTTTCTCAACAATATATTCTGCTTCCCATTTGGTTAATTAGCTCTGAGGGACATTAATCCAATCATTCAGTCTTTCACTTTATTTCTTTTTTTATGTGTTTTTTTCCTATTAGTGTGTTAGTGCTGAACAATTTCAAATTACTGCTCAAAGGAGGAAATAACAGTCATTTTCTCATCAAACATCTACCTCCTACACTGGAGTTAAATTATGTGCTTAATTGCTTTGGAAGTGATCAGAACCCCTATTTCCTTTATTACTGTATTTACTGTTTATTTTTTAAACAGAACTCTTGGCTTATTATTCAAATAAACCGTAGCTTTTGGCCCACAGGTTGTTCTGCTCTGTGATGCTGAGGTTTGTTCCCCACCAAATATTACTTGTCCTTCAGACAGTTCCTGACTTCTTTCATTACTTTTTGGGGTTCTTCAGTGTGGCTTTATTTATTCTTCAACATTTGCACTGTGTTGTCCTGTCTCAGGAGACTAAACAAAATAAACATTAGCATTGAAAGCTTGAAAGAAGCACAGCAAGGACGATGAAGTTTCTTATACTTGGCTTTTATTTGGGCAAGCAGAAAAGGTATGATTTTAATTAGGAAAAGCGTGTTCCAAAGTGTTTGTCCTTGTTTCACCAACTAAAAAAAAAACCAAAAACCTACACAATTATGTGTTTATATGTCTGTGTTCATATTTTGTGCTTACATTTCGTACGTGGCACTGTGAACGTACAGGTTTGCACATTTAATTTATGAACAAACGCTTTAATCTTTGAAATTATCTTAATAGACTGGCTGTTACTTTCTGATTTACCTCCTCCACAAACCAAATCTTTAAAAGCTTCTGAAAAATGACTTTCTGCCATGAGAATTCACCAGCAGGTCTTGACGTGACTCAGCGCTTAATGTCGTTCTGTGATTACGTTCTGTGATTTGGTAATTACGGGCGTTTTGTTCCTCTGAGAAGTTCAGGCATAGTGCTCCATTTAAAAAAGCTCCTGTTAAAATGTGCAGCTGGGAAGGGCTGTGTGGAGGCAGTAAAATATCCCACAGCCACATTTGTTTAATGAGCACAGCTCTGGTTCCCAGCAGCGATTCCGTTACGGAACGAGGCATCTGCCAGGGCTTCATGCTGCACTTGGAGAGAGATTTCTCTTTGCATTCTCTGACAGCAAGATTCAGGGATGGGGGTCAGATGCCTGTTTCATTTTCCAGGGTTAGAAAGCCCATGCACAGATGTATCTGGAGAGGAAGAGGAAAACTGGCATCATTTTCTTGAGCTATTCTCCATTTAGTAAACATTTGCCTCATTTTAAGCTTCAAGTCCAGTTAAGTTAGTTGGAGCTCTTAGATGCTTGAAATTAAGTCCAAACATAAGCTCTGGCTTAACAGTTGTATGTACAAGGTGCTTAAGCAAGTGAAAAATTGGTTATTAGATTTCTAAATAAAAGTAGCATTGCTCTCAAAGGTGAGCAGAACTGTGGCTTCAGCTGCTCTCTGAATACTTGTATATATTGCACAGTTCTGAAAATCTGGATGTTTTTAGCAATACATTATCAATAAAGTAAGGAGCAACTGTGGGTACGCAGGCTTGAAAAGTAAATACAAACTGCAGAGGGAACGTGCCCCTTTTATTTTTAGCTGTAGGAATTTTATGCCAATTAAGTTCCTAAATAAGGTTTTCTTGCTTCCTTCCTTGATTCCTTCTTTGGTTGTCTTGTAGATTGTATTGTGTAGAGCATTAGCTCTATATTGTTCAGAGGATTGGGGAACTGAAATGTGAAAATTGCTTCCTGTATGAGTATATTGCAATGGGAATTTAATAACTAACTGTTATGAGTTTGGGTGAAATACAAGTTATTAGTGAGGCCTGACGTGACTGAATTATCTCGACCACATAGTTGCATTTCATAGATAATTCATCCTGTGTGTATGTATCAATGACACTGATGTGCTGTAGCATTTGCTACTAAAACCCTGGAGTTATTTTGGGATGGTTTAGACTTGAATGTTGTGACTTGGGAATTATTTATTACGGAAGCCACAGAGCTGCCACAGCTCACTGCCCTTCCCTGTGTTCACTTCCAAAACCCCTCGCTCAGCCCTGGGAAAGGGACATGCTTGTCTTGCTGCACATCAGGGTGCTTTTTATCTATAAATTGTATTTCTGTAACACTGCCCAGTTCTGTTACTTGCCCAAATCCCTGAATATTGAAAATAGGTGGGTCAGCAGTGCTTTGGTTGACGAGACCCTAAACTTTGCACATGGCACAGTCTGTGAGGGTGAACTGTTTCCATTTGGGGCGTGTGGCACTGCCAACATCAACATCTTAGGTCATACACTTATTTCAAACATTTGCATTTTTGTTTTCCTTAGTATAAACTTTGCATTCCTGACTGCTTATGGTTTGAGTCTGTTGCTTGAGCAGTTTCAGCCAAGTGCAAGTTAGAGGCTAGCAAGGCTTTTTGTTAGATATTTTTTCACAGATTGGTAAAATGCGTGCTAGAAAAGTAGGTGCTTGAATACAGTAGTTTCATTTTGCCTCTTAGGCTTTTTCTTACACGTAATTTCTCTTCTCAGCACCATATCTTCTGATACTGTGGGTAGGATTTTGTCTTATAGTTGTAAATCAGAAGGCTGTGAGAACATCTGTTGAATGTAGAAAAAGCCTCTGGGTGACCTTCTGTTCCCCTTGAGATCTGTTTTCCTTTAGGACAGTTTCATTTGTCTCTTTATCTACATACTGTCTGTGCTTAATTTTTGAATTCTGCCTTTTGGCCTTCTGCTTTGCTGCTTCCTCACTGCTTATGTTTTCATAAGTCAGGCTCAGGCTGGTTTTTTTCACTTCCCTAAAGACTGAAAAAAATTGATTTTTATGGTTTTTGCTTTTGATCCTTTGAACTCTTGAATGGTATCACAGCAAAATAGCACTGGAACATCAAGCTGAATAGTCAGCTGTCTGCCCATCCTGCCAAATTTGTGTCTTTTGGTGGTTCCTGCTGTGAGAGCTGGTGGAGAGGCACCAAGAGGGGTGAGCACTTGGTGAGGCTGATGCAGTAGTTTAAGGAATTACCACTTCCCTCTGGCAGAGGTTAGGGGTCTGTCAGCAGAAGGGAATCTGGAGCTACATCCCCCCTTCTCAGAGCAGTGTCTGGCATCTTTGCTGTAAAGATGCTTTTCTCAGTTACGGCACCGGAGCGTCTGAAACACGAGAGACAATTTTCCTTCATCAACTTTGTGCTAAAGTGTGATTCCTTGAGCTGCCAGGGCAGTCACCAGAGCTCATCTGTCACTGTCCAAGTCGTGTCTGCAGTTTGTCAGCCGGGCAGGGCTGGTGCTCAGCCAGTACAAATGACATCAACGAGGTTGTTCATCCTGGGAGTTGGGGCATTACTCATTTGGAGTGATGTGCTCACTGAGGAACATGCAAGAAAACAGTGATTAGATCCTCACATAAGTGTATTCTGTCTTAAATAAGAGTCGGTGCTGATCTAGAACTCACTGTTTTCTGTTTGAGTTCTGATTCCATGCTTATGTTTAACTCTGTCTCCCTGAAGCAAGCACCTGAAGGAGAAAGTGTTCAGAGAAAAAAAAGGGGAGAGGGGAGATATAAATAGGGAAGGATAAAATTAAAATGGGTGGACTTCATGCCATCCAATAAATCAAATCTAAACTAGGCAAAATGCCATTTTTCTGAAGATCAGAAAGCAGAAGGATGTGGGGGACATTGGCCACTAAGAGATCAGTCATCCTGCCTGGAATGATATTGCCTGTCCAAAGCATGTGGGCTGGTTCTTTGTATTTTCCTGCTGCTGTGGAGCTGTCACCTTTAAAATTCAATGTAACAGTAATTAATAACACTATAATCCAGTCTGAAAACCAGGCTGATAATCCTCTAAGAAACTTAATAGCATAGGGCATCTGTAGAGTAATGCAGAGTCAGCAGGATTGGTACCTAGGAGTGGGTGTAACATACTTTATCATGGAATCACAGAACCCTGGAGTGGTTTGGGTTGGGAGTGACCTGAAGGAACATCCAGTTCCAACCTCCCTGCCGTGGAGAAGGGCACCTTCCACTTCCACATTTCATGGTATGGTGTTGATGTTCAAGGTGTGCTGGTCAGACTGCTGGGATGATCCCCTCTGGATGCAGCCTGGCAGCAGTTACCTGACCCCACTGCAGTAGCTGCAGCAGTTCTCACAGAGAAGGAGGATTTTTTAGTGTGTTTTTAGTGTATTTTAGTGTATTTTAGCACATGGAGTACAGTGTAGCAGGTGGCTGGAACAAGAGCCAGGACTGTTGTTCAAGCCAGTGTCCTACAGTAGTTTTTGAACTAACAGTACTTGGAAAGCCACTCCACAGGGAATTTCATCCTTTGATCGGGGATAGTCCTCAGAAACAGTCACTTGCAAATGGATATTCAGTGTCTGCCTTTTGCTACATGAGTGGATTTGAGCTGTGTGCACTTCCACTCATCCAGGATCTGTGGATAACGCTGATGAACGATGATCAGACTGTGCAAAGAGGGCTCGTAGGACTGAAGAAAAAAACAAGTTAATTGAATATACCACTCAGCTTTTCAGAAGGCAAGATGCATCTGAGTAGCTGACAGTTTATAGCTGGAGCTGATTAAACCTGCATTGACTTGGAACCATAATTAATATAAATCACTGCTCTTCAAAGGACATTTTAAAGGACTTTGTATAAAAAAAGAAAACTCAAACCCCACAATCCTAATTGGTTTCATTTGCGTTTGAAGAGTTCTTCTGACTTGCTTTTCCAGTCCTCTGACAAGCTTTTTTCCCTTTTAACAGCTGCCTATAAATTAGGGCAGTTGTTTTACTGGTGGCAGTGATATAAGAGTTCCCACAGCTCCACAGTGGGAGTAGGTCCCCAATTAATCTCATGGAATCATATAGTTGATTTTGTGACAGCATATTTTGTGTTGCTCAGAGCTTTTTAAATGCCTTTATACCCAGGAATCTCCAGTCTAAGCAAATTCCAGTAAAGTGTAGCTGCTGCAGGATTAGGTGGTTTCTTTTATGGCCTGGTTACTTACAGTCCAGGTGCCAAGGTTCAGGGAACCACTCTCAGGATATCTCATTTCAGTTCTCACATGAAAGCACAGAAACTTGGGACAACAAGTCTGGAAGGTGGGTCTGAACAAGAGCTAAATGAAAAGCCTGGCTCAAGACATGGATGTGAAGGTTGAGAGAGACTTGAGGAGAAACCAGGGAGGAAAGGCTGTTCCAAGTGTGGTGTGTTCCTTGTTGGAAGGAAAGCAAGGTCTCGTTCCAGAGTGCCAATTGTAGTGGTTAACAATGGAGCTCTCCTTTCTTTTTTTTTTTTTTAAATATTGCAAGAGTTCTGCTTTGTAAAATGCTTTTGTAATGAGCCCAGACTGTATCTTGCATCCATTGACAAAGTATTTTCCGATGAGTTGAGCTCTACTCTTTGGAGCTGAGGAAGGAAGTGTGGATTTAATGATGACAATGGATTGTTTTTTGACCTGCAGATGGTAGAAGAAAGCGAGGAAAGGCTCACAGAGGAGCAGATCGAGTCTCTTCTCCAGACAGTCACGAGTATTCTTCCAGGGGATCCAGAAGAACAGCAGAGAGACTCAGCAATGGCAGTGGAAGACAAAGGTGACCAAGCATAGGAGGCTTCTAGACCAAAGCTGGCAGCAGTTTCAGAAGAGAATCAGCTAATATTTTTCTGTTTTTAACTTGATACCGGTTTAATCCTGTACTGGACATAATTGTAAAATATATTACCATTTTTATTACTTGGAGGTGGTGAGGGAACCAATTGTTTACAAGAAAGCACAGAAAAGGACACTATTGTTTTGGTGTTTTGTCATCAACAGGGATGGCAGTAACTGAGCCTGTAATGGAGCAGCCTGAGAAAGCATGGGGCACAGGATCTGAAGCTTTTGTAATTTTTCATTACCCATGTAACAGCTGTACATTTGAATAGGCCCATGTACAGCTGGCAATGTTTGAATTATCACAGCAGTGCTATAATGGTAATTGCTTTCATAAGCTCTGGAATTGCCCAACTGCCTTTCAGAATAGGGGCTGCAATGCAAAGCCAGCTTTTGGGGCTGTTTGGTGAGCAAAACAGAGAGAGGTACAAGAGCTGCCTGGGGTCTGACCAGGCACTTCCAAGGAGGCTTTTGGCATCACAGAAGTGAAAGGATCTGTTCTCAAGGGTGTCTGGCAGTCCCTCCTCAATAACAGAGAGATCCAGATCACCAGCTAACTCAGCAAATTGCCTCTGAAACCAGGGAGCTGGGCCAGTTTACAGCAGAGAGGCTCTGGACTCAAATCTTAAAGCTCTGACTAACAAACAGCAGAATATTGAGGGGTGAGGTGTGTATTTGCCCTTTGAACATTAATTCCAATATTTATACATAGACCAGTCAGTCCTGTGGATGTGCTGTTGGTGGTGGAATAAATGAGTCAACGCCGAGGTCCTAATCTGGTTTAGGAGAATGAGAGTCTGTCCTGGATGAGGCAGAATTTTCTGTGTACTGAGCTTTTGTCTGGTTAAGGATTTCAGGATCAAGTGTTTAATGTTGAAAGCCTTGATGATTATAATAACTCATTTGTGTGTGTGTATATATACACACATAAAGTCAGGAGCTACCATGGCACTGCTTTATGTTATGGCTGCAGACCATTCTTTTATAATTATTATAAGGTACTGGAAATAGAAGTAAAATTTTAAGTACATCCTGAGAATTTTGTGAATTGCAGACAAGATATAAGACCTCAAATCAGATATCTAATTTTTTTCCCTCCTCTATCATGGCTTTATTTTGTGTTTTTATGCAAAGAATTTATGCTTTCTGAGCTTTAGTTGTGCTGTATATGAAAGGGACTGATAAAGTCCCGTGTCTGGGGGATTTGTGATATGTGTTTCCATGGTATTTAAGCTTCTTTGATGTTTGGAGAGGAAAGAAAATTATTGGAAAATGTATTTCTTGCCTCTTAAAGATAATTTATCTTACATTAAATGCTTTCCAAGGCTGGAGACTAAAGGTACATTTTGACTGGGTAAGTGTAGTACAAGAGGGGGAAAGTCCTTGGTGGTTTTGTGAATACATCAATATGTATTTTTCTCTCTAAATGTGCAAGAAAACAAGAAAGATAATTGGATCGTATCACAGAATGACATGCAATTAATTTTAAAATTAGCATTTTTATTCACAGCAGTCACTGATGTTGTTTGACATGCTGCGGCCTTGGGCTGCGACTGTTTACATTTTTATCTGTCCTTTTCTAAAATTAAGCTTTTGAAGTATGTCCTAAACTTATAAAAAGCAGATGGAAGCAGATCACAAGTATCCTTAGCCAGCAGGAATGCTTTAACAGATCCCTGAGGTTGGATGCTCCACCCTGGGAATTGGTGGTTGGTTATCTTCATGGTTGTTTGCCAACATCCGTGTTCTCTTGTTGTGTGGGTATTGTACAAGGTGCAGGAACTCATTCATTTGCTGTTGTATTTAACCTTTTCATCAGTATCAGTTCCAGATGGATACATCTGTTGAATTCATGGGTCATTTGTTGAGACTCAAAGATGCATCATAAACGATGCATAAATTTCCCTAAAAAATGCAATACTAAATGACATTTGAAAGGATCTGGGATTTTGGCATCTGCATTGCATCAAGAAATGATTTTTAGACCTCCAGTCCGTGCTCTCTGTCACTGTAAGCCCAGGGGGGGAGTTACTCAGGCTCTGAGGGCAGGTTTGTGTTGTGTTTTTCACTCTGGTCCATGTTGGAAACCCAAGGTCAGAAATGGTTTGTGGAAAGCAAATGTCACTTTGCTGCTGTGACACCATTTTTCCAGTGTCTTGCATATTGCACAGAAGCCCTGCCCCTCTCCCAAAGCTGCTTTTTGTTTCCTTAACTAACCAGTTAGACCACAATAGATGGACCCTGACAGTTGTGGAGGAGAGGAGGCAGCACCAAGAGTGGCTGATGCTCTGGGGGTGCAAGAAAGGAACGTGTGTGTCGGGCACTGAAAAGCTCAGTCCCCACTTTTTGTGAAGAAACAGAGTCCTCAGCACCTTCTGAATGTTTAAGAAATGTATATTATTTTTACTTTTCTCGTTTTTTCTCTCCTCACTTTTATTCTCTGTTGTGTGTTTTGGGTTTTGGCAGATGAATGGCTTTGCCCAGGGCAGCTCTTGTGCTCTTAGTGGGAAAAAGGGGGAATGAGCTGCCAGAATTCCTTTGCTGCTGAGATACTTTAAAACACCTGGGGTTTCTCTTTTCATAAATTCAAGCCTGAGAAGCCCAGATTTCTTTGGCTGGAGAAGCCTTATTAGAAGAAGCTTTATTTTATGGGAGGAGGAGGAGCTGCTTCTCCTACCTGGCTGCTGGGCAAGGGAAATAGAGATACTGGAAACAGATGTCCACAGGGAATTTTGTGGAAGATACAGGAAATCCCTCCTGATGTGCTGAGCAGCTTGGGTGGAGGTCAGGCTGTGGCAGGGCTGTGTGTGAGGCTGTGCCCACCACTGAAATGCAGAGTTTGACAAGCAGGGAGCAAATTGCATTTGGTTTGTGTTTGTATGGCATGTTCATTAGCTCAAGGTGTGCAGTCCTAGTTAGAAAAAGGCAAACCCACAAAATTTGGAGTTTTGGTTTTCTTTGGAAGCAGGTTTTCTCCTGCAGCAGGTCTTCAAAGAGCACTGAAGTTGTACATGGAAATGGTGTCCACACATGGGTAATTCATGCTTCACTCTTCATCCCGTTGGAAATACATGTTTTTCCAACTGGTGGTTGAAGGGGGAAGACTTGGTTGACCCTGTCTGAGGTGGGAGGTTGGACTAGGTGATCTCCAGAGCTCCCATCCAACCTCAGCATTCCTGTCAGTCTGTTTTTCCTTCCTCCCACTATGAACTCGGGCTCTCATTAAGAATTGGGGTGCAGCAGACTGGGAGTTCCTCCCTTGTCCCCCTTCCCATCCATGCCTTTGCAGATGGGAGTTTGAGGCTCTGACAAAATGCAAATACTTTATTTCTGGGATATCAGCAAAGTGAACGGGACAGACTTGAAGGATTGCAGCGGGATTTCGTGGTGTGGCTCTGGGTTTATCAGTTGCTTGAGGCCTTGAAATGGGGGCTTGTGGAGTTGCTCCATGTGAGCAGCTGAGACTATTCCAAAAGAGGCTTCTCTGGTGTGAAGGATGTATCCCAGGATGCTGCTGAGATAAGGTGGTATTGCAGTTTTCTCTTGAATTTTGCTTGGTTGAAACAAAATTTTCTCTTGAAGTTTGCTCCATGGGCCAAATTAATCAGTAGTGCCTCTCCCCTGCCTTAAATTTGGCCCAAAACTCCTGCACTCTGGCTGTGCTGGGCCCCTCTGCATCGAGCCACGGGTGAATTATCCCAGCCCAAACTGGGATCATTCTGGATCCCGGTTTTTAAACACACACATTTTTATTCTGTATTGCATTTTCTATGATGAAACTTTTTATTGCCTCTGCCTCCCTGGGGTGGCAGCTCTGCCACATTTGGCAATGTGCAAACAGCACGTTCTGAATCCCAGAAACTGCCTCGCTTCCTTTGGCATGACATCCACTTCCCTTGCCTTTGGACACAGGCTTTGGAAGCATCAGTCTCAGCTGGGAGCTACTGTTGTTTGAGTGACTTATGAAACACTTCAGGCTTTGGCAGAGGGGAGTCAGGAGAGCCTGTGTGCACCTCAGCCTGACCAATATCAGGCTTTTCCTGCTTTTCTTTTTCACTTCTACCCATAACCAACCTTTTCCAGCCTGTTCTTGTCCCAGCTTCCGGAGCAAAGGGGGTGCCCGGCTGTTCCAAACAGAAGGAACAGGAAGAAGATCTTCTGTGCCTAAAAACTTGTCAGGTTTTTTTTTTGGTTTTTTTGCAATAGTACCAGTTGGTCTCAATAACAGCATCTGGTCCCAGTATCCCTCACTGCTAAGGACATCTGTGGTTATGAAATGTTCCTGGTAATTCAGAAGGACTCACGGAAGTGTCTCGGTTGACTCCTCCAGTGCAGGCAGGCGATGCTCACACGTGCACCACACAGCAGCTGCCTCTTCATCCCATAAAACAAAGCCTTACATCTGAATCTGAGTGACAACTATTGTCCTTTCTGGATGACACAGTGACCAGACAGGCATTAACCCTCCGCTCCTGCTGTTCCCAGAGCTCAGTTCTTCACCCTTGGAGATTTATTCCCTTCCTGTGGATGAGCAGTGCTGGCTGGAGATTGCAGTGTGTGAGAAGCCAGTGTGGCAGGACTGGTGATGGGGGGTACCCATGGATGGCTGAATGGAGCAGCACTTGGGGAATGAGGTGCATGTGGAGAGGGGACTGGATTGCAGGGTCGGTGTTTGCCACCTTGAGAGCTTTCCATGGGGTCTCCAACACCCATCCAGCAGAAGGAGAGTTACGCGGTGCCTGTGGAGCTGGACTTGATCAGCCAGCTCTGCCTCACGAGCCTGTGGCCTCAGGGAGGTTGTTTCTCTTCTCCCTGCCTTGGTTTCTTCTTTGGCCAAAGCCCTCAGGGTAACAGGGGTGATCCATGGGCTGGGCACTGCAGGGCTGGGGGTTCACAGCCCCCCAAAGCCGTCAGGGTGATCCGTGGGCTGGGCACGGACAG